AGAGAGAGAGAGAGAGAGAGAGAGAGAGAGAGAGAGAGAGAGAGAGAGAGAGAGAACTGGTCCTCATCTCCTTTCCTTTGGAAAGGGTTGGTCCGTCTACTGTGGGGAACAGAGCAGTTGAAAGCTGCAGGAATCCTCTAAGCTTCCTTCCGTGTTCTCCTTTTAAGTGGGTTTGTGGGTTTGGCTTTGTTTTCTCCGTGTAATCCCCAAAAGTAGATACAATACAGGGCCCTTGAAGGAAACTTGAAACTATAAATAACTCTGAGGAGAAGGTGAGGCATCGCCTCTGGCCAAGCTCCCCTGAGAGTCAGAGCCCCTTTTCAGTCACTTGACCTCTGTCTTTGTCGTAGGCCTGGTTTTCTTTTTCTTCTTCTTAAAAATAGATTTGTTGACTTAAATTTGTATGTGTATGAGTGTTTGGCCTGCTTGTGTCTGTATCACGTGCGTATCACATGCGTACTGTGACCGTGGCGACCAGAAGAGGGCACCAGAACCCCAGGGACTGGAGTTACAGACAGTTGTGAGCCTCCGTGAGCCAAGGGCAGCCGGTGCTGGTAACTGCCCGGTTACCTCTCCAGCCCGGTTTTCCTTCCCCACTGTTGCCAAGCTAGATAGGCAGTTACACTCCCTTCCCTAACTATTGAATATATGTGTTGTTTTTTTTGTCATTATGCATGAGGTGGTGATGGTCCTGGTCATAACTTCAGATGGTGTTCTTGATCAGTCCCTTAGACTCGGGGGTCTAGGAGGAGAGGAGGGAAACGTTCCTCGAGTCTTTGCTCTGTGGGTTTACAGAACCATCATGGGGTCCTTCATAGCCCCTCTCCTCACTAGACTGAGGGCCTCACAGCAGGGGTCTGTCTCCTCTGCTAAGTTTCTCAGAGTGTCTCAAGGTGGTTGTCATTCTCTCATCTTTGTCTTACGTACATGTATCATCCATTCAAATGTGTGTGTGTTATCACCGAGATCGTGCTGTGTAAGTGAGCGCCTTTAAAACTTCTGTATGGAAGTGCCAGCTTGTTCTTTTAAAGGTCTCGGTACTTGTGTTCTTTGTTGATGCCGTCCAGGCTGACCTTGAACTTGACATCATTCTGCTTTGGCCTCCCGGACAATTAATCATGAAGTTAACAGTTTGTATGTTAATTGCTCGTCTGTGTTTCTTTGTTCCTTGTTTCCCTTGGGTTTTGTCTCGGTTTATCTCACTGTCTTTTAATGGCTTCAGTTCCATGTCTTTGGGCAGTGTTATGTTTTGTTTTCTGTCCTACAAACACTTTCCTAGTGTATTGTTTGCTTCTTAATTCAGTCTCCCTTTGGTCTTTAAATTGCATCTAGTTTTTCTTTTCTTGTT